CAGGAATGGGTTCAACATTTTTTAATAATGTTTTGAAGTACAATGAATTTGCTGGCTTTTTTCCATATGATTTTAATCAGACATTGATGTGATAAGACAAGGGCTTTTTTTTTTCCTAGAACTGTGGATCCTTTTATTTTCAATAAGAACAAAAAGCCTGGTTGGCTCAAATGACGTTCTGTGAATAGCACTCATGTAATAGCAACTTCTTGGCACTATGTGTATTTGTTTGAAGAGACAATTGATTTTATTTTAAGGTTATAACAAAATAGCTCTTCTTAAATACATCCTTTTAGAAAAAATGGCTGTATTTATCATGCTCAGAATCTCAGGCTAAAAGCTTTTATTATTGTTAAGTCAAGCACTTACTCAACTAATGATTAGTAGAAATATTTCTGGAAATTTGTTTTTACTTTATTGTCAATCATGATATTCAATTTTAAACATAAATGTTCTGAGCTTGGTTTCATCCTTGTTCCTTTCCTCCTCCTCTCTGCCACAGCTTTTGGTGACCCTGTTGATTTCCATCCATTCCCAAGTCTTTAATCTATATACAATTGCTACACCCAGATGTTTATATACTAAAACAGATTGTAGTTTTTGCCTTTTCACTGGCTAACACTGTGACATCTGTATTTAGCTTTTTGCTGCCATTGTTGTTTTCAAGTGTGTGCTGCCATCTATGGAGTAATCATTGAAATAAAGCTGATATAAAAAATGTTTTATCAAAAGATTATAGAAAACAACATCTAGCTAGAGGAGGAGGTATTATAGGGCACTTGGCCAATTCCCAAGAAATCCTTTCTCTGTAGTCCCAGATCTCACAGCAAGCCCTGATGGAAGTATACCGTTAAGAAAATCAGCAACTTCTAGGAGTAGATTTATATATACTGGACTTGTGTAATATCAGTGAACCAATCCCTAAGCCATGAGTTTGGCTTAACAGTTAAGAATTTTTTTTTAAATATACTAATGTAGCCTGAAAATGAGAATAAGGTTGCTTTGTCCTCTAATCCTGTAACTTGTTCCTTTTCCTGCCCCATTACCTTTCACGTGTCCTAGTCCTTCAGCAGTTTCCAAGATCTATTTATTATATCTTTCTTCATTTGTTTTTTTAAGCTTAATTTTAATTCCTTATTCTTCCCCAGCATCTTGTTAACTGGCTTCATGCCTCTCCCTTGTGTCCAGTTGCAGCCTGCCAGGTTCCAGGTTTCCCTCCTTCAGGTCCCTTCAGAAAGCCATACTGGAGATCAGTCCCTATTCTCTCTCTCTCTTCCATAACATTTTGTTGCTTGGTATCTATTTTAGAGTATACATTTATTGCAATACATTTATTCGAGTTGGTCTGGAAAGCAGTTGGAGAAGTAATTTTCTCTATACTTTTCTAAAGTGCCTGTGAGGTATCTGTTTGTGCATAGAAGCTTTTCAGCCTGCAAATATTTTACTAAAGATTTTAGCACCTTACAACCTTGGATGGGGTTAGGTATATGAGTTCTCGGCTATCAGTTTTCTATTGATTTTAGTTAGGAGATGTGACAGAGAACAACTATGTCTTTAGGTCTTTCCTTGCAAACAGTAGTGTTGGAGTGCAGGGGATATTTAACCATTACTGCTCAAGTGCTTTCTTATAACACAAGACATCAGAATCAAAAGGAAAAGTTTAACATATATGGATGAAACATTCTTAGAAATATTTTCTGACATTTTCTTCTTATTGCTGAACTTAGAAATAGATCTTATTTCCCAGCATCAGAGAAAAAATGAAGAAAAAAAATCAATGCTGAAGATTGATCAATGTTTTTCAAAACTGACTTAATAAGATAAAAATCGATGCAGCTGTATTCTTTGCCATTATATTAACACCAGTATCATTCAAACATGGTAATATTTGATTCTTAAGTTAAATGTGAACTTCAGTTACCTCCTACAGAGGCAAAAAAAGAGGAGGTGGCATTTATTTAGTCTAACTTTGGGTTTGTTTGTTTTTTAATCCTAATTTTGGAACTCTACAGAAACTGAAAACAGTGTCATATTTTAAGTGTCAGTGTATAATTGTTCTTTTAATCACAGAGATTTAAATAGAAAAAATTATTACTTGTATTTGCAAATTACTAGCTCCGATCCTCCCTTCCTCCTGCAAATCGCAGTTCCAGCTTGCCTGGTTGAAAGATCTGTACTCGGAAACTTGAAGATAAGGTTGGACACTTGATTTCGTCTGTAACAAACTCGCCGTGCTATAACTTTAGAGCCTTACTGTACAAATGCATTGGCTTATTAATCTATTTCGCCAACAATGAGCAGGTCATGTGGGTTTTTTTGTTTGGATTTTTTTTTCCCCTCAAATGACTATTTGCCTTTTCTATCCCCACTGCCCCCGGTAATATTAAAATCCCTTCTTTATCTATTTGAATAGAAGTTTTTAAAACTGTCTTATGTAATATCAGTGAACCAATCCCTAAGCCATGAGTTTGGCTTAATTGCTAAGAGGTTTTTTAAAAAATAATATGCAAATGTAATAAAACAGGAAATGTAAACCTAATAGTAGATTATAATAGTAGACCTAACCTAAACCTAATAGTAGACCTAACCTAATAGTAGACCTAAACCTAATAGTAGACCTAACCTAAGCCTAAACCTAATAGTAGACACAGTTTTTGAGGACTTAATTGGGTTATCTGTCAGGCCAGTAACTTTTACCTTTCTTTTTTATATTCCTTAACTAAGTGATAAATGTAATGAGTTCGCTGCTCTCCTCAAGTAGCACTGAGCAGTGATACGTCCATTCTTCGAGGTCGCAGTCCCACCCCTTCATTGCAAACTCCATTATAGGCAATACCTGTAATCATGTAACAAGAGAGCTTGTACTTGTACCTCTCCTCTCCTTTTCCTCCTCCCTCTACTGCGAGAGAGAAGTAGTATGCATATTGCATAGCTAAAAGGTTATCAAGTCTGAATTTGTTACACCTCTGAATTTGGCAGGCAAGCATTCACAGCTGCTGTAGAAATACATGGCTCTTCACCACATGAAGCTGGACACCCTGAGAAGACAGATGATATTGGTTTGGTTTTCTTGTTGCCTTGCAAACAATCAAACTGGCTTAAGCTATGCAATCTGATACTCCCTAATTGACAGCTTTTGCAAGGTTCATTTGTTAGCTGAGAGCATGACATATATTGAAGTTGTTTCTTCATAATGCATTTGGCATTAACAGGAGAAGCTGTCGAATGCCTCAGACATCAACATCTCAGCAACCAGATATTTGCCTCCAGTTTTGACTTTCTAACTAGTGAGTTATTATTGCAAGGGCATTTGAAGTGAGCATATGAGCAGATGGGACATGAGAAAAAACCTTAAATACATTCCCCAAAAGGAAATTTGTAAGAAAGTATTGTTGCTGCTTGGGACATTTACCCAAGTTTTATGGTTCAACTGTTTCTTTTTTTTTTTTTTTTTTAAATAAAACCTTGCTTTCTGGCTTAACAAACTACTCGCTGAATATTCATTGGGTTTCAGTGGGTTCTTTTATTTTGGTAGATTAATAAATAAGCATATCTGACTTTATTTATAGGGATGAATAATTTGTGTGTAAAAGACATGCTCAAGGTTTTAACTTGCATGTGCATCCACAAGAGAATAAAATAAAACCCCAAAGAAACCTCTATTTCAAAGAATTGTAACATTCCCCAGTTGAAACTCATGTTTACTTGAAAGAATAAATTCACTGTGTAGAAGAGACCAGAGGATGATTTCTCCACTGATCTTGTCACTGTTTTGCATTTGCTGTTTTCTTGTAGCTAGTTTTCACAAACAATTTCTTAGTTTCTTAGAACACAGATTGTGCCAGAACTCTAACATTCAGCTTTTTTTTCCATTCTGTAAAAGATTTTACTCTTCCTTGTAACTGTTTATATGCTGATACCTGGCAAGATGTTCGCACAGGGTCTATAAATACTAATTAAGAGCTTAGTCACAAATCCATCATTATTAATAGCTGCTATTTGTCCTGCATCCCTTGAACTTGCTAGTTACAAGATGAACTTATGTTAGATGTACAAAAAGATGTGGTTTAGTTTCACTTTGTTGTTCTTACTTAGTGTAAGCATGTTACTCTAAATATTCAGGTTAATTGCTTCAGCACCTAGTTAAATTTCTGCGCATATTCTTCCTGCTGGGAAGGATACCTGCCTGGAGAAGTATGTGGAATTTTGCAGATGCTGTCAAAATAGTGAAGGAGTTTCAGTGGTGCTTTGACTAGCACTGTTTAGGAAGTGAAATGCAGCTGTTTAGATGAGGAAAAAAATGAATGAATGGGTCAGGACACCTTCATTTCATAGCTTAGCTTTGACTGAAGTGCCTCCTCAATAAATGCCAGGGAAGAATGAGCAAAGACAGATTCTGGTTAGTAAAGCCCAGAAACAAACTTTTTGAAAGCCCTGAGGACTGGAACCTAAGCACACATCTCTCCTCACTCTGTAAACATCAACAACCTGAATTCCTGCAGCCAAATAACCCTTTGGGGAACGTTCTGGACCTGTCTCCATCAAAGTACTTTCTGTTTTATTTGCAAGGTCTATTGTCAAATACCCTTTGGGTCCCTGGCAAGCACTGACTCCAGAGGCCCTTTCTGTCTTGCAGGGCAAGCACGAGCTTCATGTGGACACGGGACTGGAAGGTGCCTGGTGCGGCCTCATCCCCATTGGGGACCCCTGCGAGAGCGTGACCACGACAGGCCTCAGGTGGAACCTCAGTAAGTCAGGCACCTCTGGGGCAGTGGGTTTGATGTTCTCCAAACTGCACGTTTACACCAGCCTCACCAGTGCTGAAGGTGGAACATAGCATTGAATCCCTGCCAGGCCATTTTTTTTGTAGAAAAAATGGGAAAAAAAATGTTTAAACCTGAGATATTGCATGCAGAAATTTGGGAGTCGTGCTATTTAAATAGAACATTTGTTGAGGTCATGATACATTACCGTCTTGATACATTGCTCTCTGGGGAGGGGAAGCTGCAAGTGCCTAAACTCCTGGTTATAAGCCATAAAGTTGCAACAGACAAATAATAATGTGATACAGATTATTAAAGCTACCTCACTTCCCCTGAACTGCTTCACATATATTGTTTGTCAGCTCTGAATGAATAGATCTTTTTCTTATTTTAAAGTGGGAAAAGATGCATTTGATCTATAACAGGGATATTTATCTGTAGTGAAAGGAGGTTTCTTGACCAAAAAAACTGAAACAATCTTCATCTTCCTGCCCCCTCCTCCCACACTGAGTCATTCAGGATGCATTTAACTCCGGAAAATAATGGGATATTTTAGATAAAGATTCATTAAAGCTTAAGGAAATTAAAGCAATAATTGAGAGGCTCTGGTCTTGCAGTCTGATTTACGTGACCAGACTTCAGAGCCATCCCATGTAGAAAAGGTGTGTGGTTCTCACAGTTTGCAGTGCAGTGCCCTCGCTGGCTAATAATTAATCTGAGGCTGACCCACTGTGCCAGCCAGGAGCACTTGTGCTACTCTAGGGAGTGTCTTTGTTCCACTGAGGGTTTGATCATGTACAATTAAGGAGGTGGTAAGCATTAGTAGCTCATTAATGATAAAATATATAAATATGGCATTAATTTCAAGACATGAGACTCTTGCCAGGTGAAGAGCTGTCTGGCTAGTGATGTTTTAATCTTTTTAAACTGGATTGTAAGCCGAATGTATTGTATAAATTACATTCATTGAAAGAGTCAGATATTTTCATTTGTACTGATAAGTGGAGTTAACAAGTAAGGAACTGAATCTTCATCTGCTCATCTGGTCTGTTGCTCTTAGGAACTACTCATTTCTCTGTAAAAGTTCTGCTCTCCACAATGAGGTGAAAGACGCTCAAACTGGCCTCAAGTTAATGAAGGGAACATCTCTGAAGCCTATGTCACTGCAAAAGGCTACTGTGTGGATCCAAGTGTGGTAGTTGCTGTAAGGTTGCAGTACGTTCTTGTGCTTTTGATTATTATTTTGAAAAACAAGTTATTTTTCAGATACATCAGATTTTTTTAGTTTAATTTCATAAATTTCGTCAGATTTACAAGGTACTCATTAGAAAGATGGTGATTTTAAAGATGGTCTGGCTGCTTTCACAAATTACACGACCTTGTTACTATTAAATTTTGATTGCCTGATCTGCTGCAGCTAAGAAGAAAGGGGTTACTTGTCAGCTGGAGGGGAGTGCAATGGGAAGTGCAGTGTAGTAAGTTTGTATCTTGGATTGGATTGAGGTATCATTTTCTTTGATGTTTATCATTCTTGTTTTGCTGTAATAAACTTCTTCAGGTTACTTAGAGGCATAGCTAGATGTGCACCTATAGGATTTTTATTACACTTAATTTAGTCTTTTTTTTTTTCTGGGCGACAAAAAATATTTAAGTGACTGTTTCCTACTTGGTTTATGTTAACATGACACCACCATCTCTGCTTCTTCCAGTTCTTGTTGCTGCCTGTTTCCACGAGGAAACCTCAGATGTTTACAGTGTTTTCCTTAGTGATGTGTACACTGCAGCCCGTGACAGGCTACACTTCCAGTATCAGTATTCATGGGTCTTAGTTCTTTCATTTCTTTTTCTGTATAATCATAACAGGTATATGAAAACAAAAATGATCAGGTCATTGAAGATGTTTAATCTATCTGACACCAAGGTCAGGTTATAATGAAACTGCTCTTGTGCCCAAGTGACTAGAAGTAACTTTCACTTATACAAATACAGAATTTGATTCAGGTTATTGTTCAGATACTGATAAAACAAATTAAAGTGTAGTTGCAACCTCCAAAATGGAAACCAGTATCTCAGTTGTTTGGTTGCATTTTTTCCCTAACAACCTCAGTTTACTAATAGCTTTCATTGACTTAATGATTTCTGTGCTACCTATAGTTTCGCGGTTACTTTTAAAAACATTAGTCCTCCTGTAAATTTTGGTGGAGAAGCAACAGCTCACCTGGGAAGAAAAGGGAGTGAGAATATACTGAAGTGTGACACAGATGTCAGCATTGATGCTGATGGCTGGCAGTGGTAGAGCTTTCCCTTTTTATTTGTTAATGGCACTCTGAGCACACACCTTCATAAACCTCAATTAATAAAATGGTTTGGTTATTAGTTAATTTTCATGTGTAAATCATTCAAGAAATGACATTTTTAAGCCAAACATGACTTGCAGGGCTTTTTTTTTTTTTTTCAATTTCTTATGAAATTAATTGAATATGACTTAACAAGTCTGCTTTTAAAAAGTAATTTTTGAGTCCTCAAAATATTTGTTTTAAGTGTCTGGGCAATAAACTAATTCCAGAATTTTAGTTCTCTCTGAACAGTCAAAAGTTATGCATTAGGTGAGAGGGGAGCCCTCATTTTTGCAAACAATAAATTCCAGCAACTCAGAATTCAAACAACACTGCATTACAAGAAAGAGCTGGCTTTACAACAATGTTTAGCACTGAAGTCTGTCTGAGCATATCTGGCTAACTCTGCTGATTAAAATTTGTAAAATTTTAGTAGTCAAATGTTATCTGTGTCTAATCTACAGGTCGTGTCAAGAGACTTCATAGCCTCTGACTTGAAAAAGGCAAGGATAAATAACTAAGACAGAAGCTGTAATGGAGTTGAGAGTATGGTACCAAAAGTCTCATTTCAGTGGCTGAATTAGATAAACCTGAAATCTGTAAACTATTCTGCCAGCAGAGAAACAGTGATGTCTTGATTATATTTTTAATATTGCAGAATTCAGTATTTTTGTGTGTCTGTGTGAAGATGCAACATGTATGCATGCTTTTATGCATGCTTATATTATCTTAGTTATTTGCTAGCACTTGACACAAACAGAACTTTCATTTATTTTATCTTATGGGTGAAAGAACTTGGAGAAGAAAGTGGAAAAACTATTAAAGAAAATGGTTTTTATCCATACTTGCTATTGTGCAGCACACATTCAGAACACATTATAAACATATTCTTTCTACTCCCAAAGGGATACAGATCTTTTCTCTATTAAAATCTGATTTATAGCACAGGAATCAGATAATGCTTTATCTGATTTGACTCACCTGGCTGCTTGCTTATTACAGCTCCCGTGTCTAATAAATAAATAACGAAAAAACCAATAACACCAGAATTACTC